TGCATCGGCGCATGTCCACTTCAGTAGTACTTTCCTTTCAAATGCCCCACTTTCCGCATCTGTAAAGAAATACGGAGCTTAAGCAAAAAGAAGAAACAGATAATTTAATTTCCGGAAGGAGTCTTATGAAAATTAGGTTATTGTGAAAATTAGTAAATTGATTTTTGTTTGAATTCTGTCTTACATACTCATATTTCAGACCAGCACAACGAAAGGCGTACCTTAAAAGCGCCCTAATTTTTAAAAAAAGTCAGCTTTGAGGGCAGATTTGCAATTGAACTTGACAATTTATGGGGAACTATGAGCAGCGACAGAAAAGTCAAAGGATTTTTAAAATGGGGAGCTAGCTGAGAGGTAGCGATAGAAGCAAATAGACATAATTTTATCGCAAAAGCTATCAAGAAAGAAAGCGGAGAAGTAGTAACCCTAACGCAGCCATAGTTTCGTTTTGAAAGCTTTGATAAAGTCATAAGCAAAGTTGCAAATGTATCAAATGGAAAGCACTTTCAAGAGTCTTGGGCTCCTCGTTGTACACAAAGGGGATAAAAAACAAGGGAGATAGAAAATGAGAAGAGTCGAGTCGAGCAAAGAAACAAAACCAGCACACAACAGAGCTTTTGCGTCCACGCCTCTGCGCTTACTTTGAACATCGCTATCCGAGCCACCGGTTCCCGAGTCTGGGTCGTCGTAGTCAATCGGTGGCAGAACCGGGATTTGCGACGGTGTAGGGCGAGATTCTGATGAGCAGCCCGAGAGTGTACTTAGCGTAGAAGACACAGACATCTGAAGAATACACCACACATGCAAACCCAGAAGAACTAAAGTGAAATAATCGCCACGGGGGGGAATGGATTCAAGTGAACACACATCGTTCAACAAAAAAGGGGTTTATATGAAGGACCCGAAAGGAATGAATGGGTTAAGCGGCTTCCCAAAAATCAAGCACCCACATTATCGATGTTCTTTCGTGTACTGTAATTGTCCTCGATGTTTTGACTAATCAGAGCAACATTGCTCTGACGAGGTGCCGTTGCAACATTCACAGTGAAGTGCGGGCGTTGGCCACCGTTGTCGCTTCGATCCTCCCCGTACTCGGAAGGTTCCAAAGATGTTCGTGAAGAGGTGTATCTGAAATGTTCCGTGCGAGGAAT